CATCTTCGCAACGACCCATATCCAGCACTGTCGCCATTCTGCTTCGCAAAAGCTGCGGACACCAGTAAAACTGAAGTCCTTTACGTCTGTAGCGATTTCCAATGCAACAATAGCGTCGACTGAGATCTTTTTTTTGTAGAGCACGGAGCTGTTGCATCTGCTCTTGTTTTCGCAGTCGTTTTGGTGAGTAAACCATCAAGCACTTCACGACGGTTCGGTTACGCGTACGACTAGCGGAGAGAAATTCGTAGCTATTTTTCCAAGTGTTCAACGAGCAAATACACCTAATATTTAGCTCATCGTTGTTTTGTACGCTGTAGTTGCACCTTTGCACAGCAAACTGGGCAAAGTAGTCTAGCTTTGCACTACCCAAAACATGTGCCGCTGTGTGTCCCCGCGTAACTCGAGAATCTGACGTCTATCAAAGGCCTTGAAATAAATTTCAAACATCTGCCTTTTGAACACAAAATGCTCTCAACGAAATACTTTAACAGGGAGCCCAAAATGGTGATGGGCAGTTGTGCCGTTGCAACGCTATAATTTTTTTAAGAATGCCATTTTTTTTCTTTTCTTTCATTTCGCTTTTTTTTGCGACTTCCACAATAATTTACGCTACCATGGCAAGCGCAAAAGCTTTTTACAGCACTTCTACATAGCTTTCAGTGAAGATATTTTGGAATCAGATTAAAAAAAAAAGAAATTGAAGTTGTGATTCTTCAAAAAAGAAAAAAAAACAATTTTTTATGCGCCGTTGAGAATAAATTCGTATATGACTCGTAATTCTCTCTGCTAACAACAAATCAATGAAGTGTTTCCATAAAAGTCTGTTGTAAGAGTGCTACTTGGATTTTACATATTACATACTCCTTTCACAACAGACCGAAATCCTCTTAGCTATGGAGGTCTATTGTAATAAGGCTATACTGGAACGCCATTCTTGCCACAAGAAGGTGCTCAAGTTAGAAAAGTCCCCAGAAAAAAAGACCAGTGAAGACACAGTCTTAGAAGTTTGCGTCTCAGCTTACTGCCTATTTGGACAGCGTTTGCCAAGACCTATACGATTGCTTATGGGTAAAAATAAATTTAATTGTGTCCCAAGAGAGCCACAGACATTACATGCAAGCTCTGAGAACTTTCACTGAGCAAGAATGTCTGAAATGCTAAAAGATAGTGCTCTGAAACTTCATGATGTCACACCAGTATACCATTGTCAAGGTGTTGCAGCCCCCCCCCCTTACTTTTTTTTTTTTACAGCGAAAGCTGTTATGAGATTAAAACTCGGGTGATGCGCAGCGTCGTGTTTGCTCGCTGTCACCGCCGGTGTACGTACACTACCACAGAAATAAGAAAGAAAATCTAGTACCAGGAACACAGTTAGGCTCGAGCCCTTGTCCACTGCATGCCAGCCCAGTATTCTACCACTTAGCCACACTGGTTTTTTTATGGTATTTAATAAAGTATTTGCGCAATAAAGACAAAATCAAGCGAACAAAAGTACAATAAAATCGCGAAAATAGGCGCTCAAGCGTTACTCATAAACACTAAATGGCTAACACAGCGTGAGTTCCTCACATGGATAGTTCTTCACATCGTGTTATACAAACAACAAAGGGGTGAGGTCAAACAGTTCTCTAAGATGGAGTACCAGTCCGGTCTAAAGTCTAGCTCGTCGTAAATGTTTTCTAGGTGGATAGCCATTTGAATGAAGAGTGCGCTTGAAGAGGTGGTGGGCTCTGCATTGCGGTCTTGCATTCGTGTCTTCCACAAGCTGTGCATACCCATAAGGAAAAACATATCTTATGGTACTTCATCAAGCGCTGCTGGTAGAAGATAACGTATTGTGTGAGAATTAATAACGAAACGTTTTTTTCAGTGCTCACTGAAGGACATCCCAAAACAATATGGCATCTTTGCAGCTAACAAAGCAATGTTCAATCGTTTCCGACACATCACATAGACGGCAGTTAACAGATGGAATGAAAATACCCTTTCTTTCTAATTATGTGTTTACCGCCAATGTAATGTACATTTTGCGCACTCGCTTCAACACATCGTGGCCTGGAAGATTGGAGTGCAGTGAGCGGTACAATGGAGGTGGGAAGATTGTACTCAGTAGGTCCTTATACAGCACCTTGCGCGAAACTGTGCACAGGTATTTTACAGAAAAGCGAGCTTTAAGGAACTAAACTGCGAGGTAAACTTCCTGCATGAATCCCAACAAGCATGGGCGTTCGTAGAAGTTCGATGAAACAATTAAATCTGGTCAGCAATCAACAAGTGTAACCTGCAAGAAGGAACAGATTACAGGATGGGAATTGTCTCGAAAAAAGAAGAATCGGGACATTATTTGCCATAGATAAGGTGTTTTAGTCCTAACCCACTCTCACTAACTGGCTTGCTACTCGGCTGCTGACCCGCAGGTCGCGGGGTCAATTCCCGGCTGCGGCGGTGCATTTCCGATGGAGGCGGAAATGTTGTAGGCCCGTGTACTCAGATTTGGGTGCACGTTAAAGAACCTCGGGTCGTCGAAATTTCCGGAGCCCTCCCCTACGGCGTCTCTCATAATTAAATGGTGGTTTTGGGACGTTAAACCCCACAAATCAATCAATCTAACTGGCTTGAATATATTCGACGCATATATATATATATATATATATATATATATATATATATATATATATATATAAGGCCTTTGTGACGTCTCCGGACGCCACAGATACAACATACAAGCAGCAGGTAGTTAACACGAAACAGCAGGGCATCCTTATCACTGTTCGAAGGCTCACGTTTGACGTTACCACAGTAGCATGTATTCATGCTTTACATGACATGCTAGCCATGATTATTATGTTTGGATGTGTCATTTACCTTCGTCGTCTATTCACGTAACGAAATACCAAATTTGGTTTATGTGAAGCTACAGAGACGGCCGCGAGCGCATCATGAGCGTGGTATGCAGTCATGTTCTTACATGACACGCATGTTATGATTATCATGTTTGCACCAGTCATATACTTTCGCCATTGTTTCACGTGACGTAACACCAATTTTGGTATATGTGAAGCTAGCGAAACGGCCGCGAGTGCGCTATGAGCGTAGCATGTAGTCATGTTTTACATGACACACATATCATGATTATCATGTTTGGACATGTCATTTACCTTCGTCGTCCGTTCGCGTCACGTAATACGAAATGTGGTATATAGTGAAGCGGCCGCGAGCGCTTTATGAGCGTAGCTTGTAATCATGGTCCTACATGATACGCATGTTATGATTTCATAGCCTGCCACTTATGTTCGCCATGTAGTCATGTCATACCATACCAGTTTTGCAACATGCCATGGGAACGAAACCACCGCAAGAGCAGCAAGACTATGACATGTAAATCATGACAGTCATGACATACAAGCCATAATTCTTATGTTATGACTAGTCACGTATGCTCGCCGTACAGCCATATTATGCCATACCAATTTTGGTACAGATCCGATTATCGAAACGGCAGGAGAGCTAAAGGTCTTAGGCGGCTAGATAGATACTTCGCCCCTTTGATAGAATTTGACCCTATCTATCTATCTATCTATCTATCTATCTATCTATCTATCTATCTATCTATCTATCTATCTATCTATCTATCTATCTATCTATCTATCTATCTATCTATCTATCTATCTATCTATCTATCTATCTATCTATCTATCTATCTATCTATCTATCTATCTATCTATCTATCTATCTATCTATCTATCTATCTATCTATCTATCTATCTATCTATCTATCTATCTATCTATCTATCTATCTATCTATCTATCTATCTATCTATCTATCTATCTATCTATCTATCTATCTATCTATCTATCTATCTATCTATCTATCTATCTATCTATCTATCTATCTATCTATCTATCTATCTATCTATCTATCTATCTATCTATCTATCTATCTATCCGGGATGAAACTTATTTCTCATTCTCCCGAAGAGCGTGCCCTCTATCGTCGCTGATTCTACATGTATACAGAATGTATAGAAGTTCAGTATAGCTTGGTCATTCTGCACTCTGGTGATACGGAACCAACTCATTTCGTGGCTAACAAGTGGCAGAAAAGAAATTGATTGATTGATATGTGGGGTTTAACGTCCCAAAACCACTGATGATTATGAGAGACGCCGTAGTGGAGGGCTCCGGAAATTTCGACCACCTGGGGTTCTTGAACGTGCACCCAAATCTGAGTACATGGGCCTACAACATTTCCGCCTCCAGAAAGGAAATCACTGCTCAAGCACGCCGCATACAGGTGGCTAACCAGCGAGGCTGAAGCGTGTGGCCTCCCTGGGTTATTCCCGGTGGTTCATTAAAGTCCTTCTTAATTATTTATTCCGTCTGTACAGAAACTTTAGGGAGTTCCATCCTTGTGTTCTCTTATTCATTATTAGTGGACTTGCTAAGTGCGGCGGATTGTACCCAGTTTCTGAGGCGCGAATGCTTTTGCCCGCGGACAGCTTCTTCGCTTTTGGCAGACAAGGGGCGAGTAACGCCCTATATTCTAGGTTCGTGGACAGCGGTAGGCACCGTCGACATACTGGGACGCTTGTAACGACCTTGCAGCGCGTCCACCTTTGAAGTTATTGTGCCAGCTGTCATGTGATCATAGAGCGTGGAGGCAAGGTTCGGGCTGAGCGTAGCGTATACGTGCCATGACGTCGCTGCAAGCGCCTCAATGTGTCGACAGTGCCTACCACTTTACAAACATGCGTGCCTCGTTTGCGTGACACATACGTGCTGTAGTAGTTCTTGTACACGTAGCATGGACGAATTTTGGTTTTGCCTAGCCGTGTAGACAGCTTCGCTGTGAAAGCCCCATCATTGATTTCTCCGCGAGCCTTGTACCTGCAACGCGAGGAGTAGAAAGTAAACCCGACTGAATCGACGCGTGTTTGGCTCGTTGCTAGGCGACTCAAGTTGAAGGCTCGCCGTCAGCTTTGGCGGCGTCGGGCGCGATGGCCAGCACGGAGGGGCTGCCCCTTGCAGGGGCCGGCGGCACAGCCAGCACGAAAAGCGATGGCGCCAGGCCAAAGGCAGGCAGGGACAGCGAGCAGGAGTCCAACTCAGTTCGCCCTCGGGCAAAGAAAGGTGAGCGCCCAAACCTGGCAGTGTTGAAAGATATCAAGAGCCAGACGTGCAGGCTGAATGGTGAAGATTTTGGTGTTTGGTTTGTTGACGACGATAGTTTCTCAATCAATGTTTGCCTACTAAAAAAGCAGTCATTTGTTGCCGATTCACGGCCTTTATTTGTTTTTTGCTCTTTAGGTTTTCTTAAGACAGGAATGAAGAAAAAAAAAACAAAGCAATCACGAATAGCTTAAATCAGTAAACAACCCTGACACATATTGAGCATCCCGCTAAAATATGCTGATCCCATTCGATAGGTACGCCATGGTAATGATGTCATATCTATATATACGACGTTTCAGCTTTGCTTGCTTAAAAACTAGAGAAATTAAACAGCTGACTGTAACATTTGCGTTACTTGGAGGAAATCAGAACGTGCGTCGTATATAGATAGCCCTCATCGGAAGTAAAAGAGACGAGCAAAACTATCCTTTAAAATGTGGTAGATGCACTTTTGCGCTTTCTTCTCAGTCTTTGTGCTTGAGAGGGGCCTCCATAATATTAGAATGTATTCTAGGAAGCATGATCAGTATCATTAAACTGTGTAATGTGAAGCAAAAGACTACGCATGCAAAAAAAAAATGTCATGCAGTTAAACATCAATTTTCATCGCAAGTTCAGATGGCTTCCAATGCGATATATTTATCACACGCAGCTCCAGAACACCCATCCATTGACCGCAAGAACTGGCTCATTCACATGCATTTCGTTCGACGCGAGTTCGATATCTGCAAGGCGCTCATCAAGGAGATGCTTGCCGAGACGAAGGGTTACTGTGAATACGCCCTCTACGTACAAGGTAGGTCGCGAGTTCGATTTCGGCAGCGCTTTCACATTGCGAGGAACCCGGCAAAAGGCGGAAATGCTCGTCAGCTCAGATTTAAGCCAGTGTTGGAGAACCAGTTGGGATCGAAATGGATTCCAAGTTTCCTAAACTGGCGAGTCTCACCATCAAGCCACGGTTTTGCCACGCCTTTAATTAACACGTGCGTTTTCTTATCAAATTTTCGCGTAACGCGCCATGGCTTTCGCAACGCTCGTGGGCATGCATTGATGCTCTTGAATTAACGAGCAGTATGCGCGTTTAGAATATTAATCCCTACATCTATAGGCTGAATGAACACTCATTTATAACGCTACCATGACCCGCGAGACCTGGCGCTCAATTTTTATGTAGGAAGAATGCCTTGCATAACTGGTTACATTCAACGTCTACCTTTTTTACAAACAATCCTGCAACCGCCTTTTGCTATATCGGGAAGTGTTTTATATCGCGGAAATGTTCACCATTCCCGTGCTGTCGCCAAGCAGTGGGACTCATGCAGGCTACCGGTCCCAAATATTCACCCATATGGACAACTTCGCATTCAATTTCAGCACGCTCCGTGCTTTCCTTATACCTTTTCTATACAGCAAGTCTTCTCCTTTACTGAATGTCGCTTCATAAGTATACGTGTTCTGAGCTGACCCGACATAGTTTCAAGTATTTATTGCCTTCGAGTTGTCGGAAAATACTTTTCTCCTGATTTCAAAATTGCCCTTTCACTTTAGTTACTCTGAGCAGTTTCCTGCTATAGTGACAGCTTTCGCTGCTACTCAATAAATATCCGCCTTTTCATGGTGGTGCCTAGTTTTTATTTTACTTTATTTATTTAGTTACTGTGTGTCAATGCTTCTGCCATACAAATACCTGAAAACTTTCGCCGCCCATGTATACTGTGCAATGTAAGTTCAAGTTAAAGAACACCAGACGGTCGAAATTTCCCGATCCCTCGAGTACGGTGTCCCTCAAAAATAATGTCGTAGCTTTGGATTCTTAAACCCTAGTTAATTAAATTATTATTATTATTATTATTTGCGAATTTAATTTTGCCAATTTGCATTATGACGTCATCTTTTGCTATATATAGCGAATAAGCTTAAGAGGAAAATTGTGTAGCGCATATCGCAAATAAGTCGTTTTAAATGCGGAGAATTTCTTAATCACACGAGTTCGCGGATCCGGCGTCGGTGGCGCCGTCGACACCTCGCTGCGCATGCTCGCGTCTCGTGCCAACTGTCGCTCTTTTCCACCTCTCTCACCTCAAAAGGCTGACGCAGGCATCCCGCTGCACAACCATCCACTGGCCACCCCGTATTTGTAAGCATTGGGTCACGCGTTCACAATTCAGTCAAGGGCGTCTTGGTTTTCGTTTGACTTGACGCTTTGCTTGACTCGGGTAGATGTGACGGAAGCAACAGTGCCTTCATCCAGGAATGAGGCACAACCAAACATCACCGTCCCACCACTCGTTCAAAGCAATGCTTCTCCTGCATTCAATAAATAAGAATAATAAAGACGAAATTACAGCGAAGCATTCCGAAACCATACCAAATTACGCAACATTCACGCGATACCCCCACCACTCTGCGACGCATTTACACGAGTTCCCCCCGTGGGAGGATGTGCTATTTGGAAATAATGAAAGCAACAGATCTGGAGCGAGAGCCTGCTGCTGCTGTCACAGTAAATACTATCACAGCAACCACTGACGCCTCATGACTGCTTGCTGTATCTCGCGAGTGGTGTATATATAGTCATATAACAATATGTCTGAGTACGTATTGGCAAACAAGCAATAAAGCCGACTTACTTACATTGAATGGCTGTATTACTACATTTATCGCAGTTATCCGAAGGGTTCATTCTGGTTTCACAAACAGTGGCGTACCAACTTGTTCGAGAGTGGGTGGGGGTGCTAACCTACCACACTTGTCCGCCGGTATCTATATATATATATATATATATATATATATATATATATATATATATATATATATATATATATATATATATATATATATATATATATATATATATAAATATATATATATATATATATATATATATATGGAAAGAAGTGTATACCTAAGGGCTTGTTTTTTGTGTTTTTACACAATAATAAATGAGATATAACAGACAATAATGCCAAGGAATGTATAGGGGAAGCTATTAGAACCAATATAATTTAAATAAGAAAGAAAAGTGGGTGAAAAAATAACTTGCCCTGCACGGGAAGTTATTCTTCAATAGCGTAAAAAAAAGCAGTCAGTTTCAAGCAGCATGCACTGGGACAACACGTATATGTTTGTTATGTATGATGCATGTAATAATATTACGTGCGACGCTTTTTATGCTTTACCTCACAACTTTCCACATGACTACAATTATGTTGATGGAAGCCTCCCCAACAGTAAATATTTTAACATTGAATGAAATTGTAATGACTAAAAACAGCTCACAACGAACTCAGTTTTAAATGTAAAGCACTCCTTGAGAAACCAAAGGTATTTTGAGCACTTTTACCTTCTTATTTTAGCTTCTCCATGAGCTCTAGTCTACTGCTTTATTTTTTCGCCGCTTTGCAAGGTGCTTCCATCGCTCCAAGTTGAAATTAGCAAGACTGATCAGATTTATTGGAGATTAAACTGGAAACCTTTTTTGACGCTTCAAGTACGGCAAAATTACTATATATGGAAAGACTGATTGGTTCGTGGGGTTTAATGTCCCAAACCCACTATATGATTATGAGAGACGCCGTTGTGGAGGGCTCCGGAAATTTCGACCACCTGGGGTTCTTTCACGTTCACCCAAATCTGGGCACACGGGTCTACAACATTTCCGCCTCCGTCGGAAATATTTAGGAAGATTAGTCGCAGTCATGTGCTCACAGCAGCTTCGACAGAGCAGCGGTGATGGTAATCCTTTTTGACGAAAGAAAATGATTTTGCCGAAGCAGCAAATGCTTTGACCAGTCTATAAAGATTGTGTTTATTCCCATCTATACTTTCATCGGCGAGGTGCAGTAGTATAGAAACATGAACAAGCGATGTAAATAATAGAGCACCTGTTCAGCGCTAGTCTGCTCTGCAGTGTTACTACACAGGGCGGAAAGTCGCAAAAAGACTTCAAGAAAAATCGTCACTGCTGGAACGTTGAAAAGTTATCACTACAATGTCGCTTTGCCTTGTAATACTTTTTCTTCTCCTAATAATATAATTGAGTGATTACTAGTGCTGAAGGAAAATTTTGCCTTGGTTGTTTTCCGCAGCGTGCAGGTGACTGTGACCACTAGCTGTCAAAAGTGGGAGGGGGACTCCAACTTTTATCAGAGGGGGGGGGGGACTTCTGTTCCCCTTGCCCCCCCCCCCCCCGGCTGATACGCCTATGTCCACAGATGTCATATAGCTTCGCGGGGAGAAAAACTTGTGACGCCATGCTGTTTCACGTGCAGCCCTGATACTGCGCCACGAAGGAAACATCAGCGAATCGTTGGAAGTGTTCCAGTCATGTGCCCTCCTCAACGGGAATGTTTCGATCCTGAAACAAGTAGCCAGATCCTTGTAAGAATACGTCTTCATAATCCCCCCCATATACACCACTCGTGACACGCTATGTTGGCAAAAGAAGTTCGCCAGTTTATTTTAGTGCTTCTTGGAGCCCGAGTGTAACAATTTGCATCATTCACCCCATTTAGCAGTGCGATAATCATCTTGATCTGTTTACCCTAAGTTCAGTGTTATCAGAGGGTTTCTTTCAAAAAATGTGATAGAACATCATTTTTAAAGCTTTCCGGGTTGCCTGCTTGGTTCGACTGCTCGCCTCTCTCTTCCCCGACACGTTCAATTTTGCATCATGCAAAATCCGTATATTCAGCATCGACTTCACTGTACTGCACCATACTTGTGGCAACTAAAATAGCCATAACGTGAATTAAACGTAACACTGGCATTTGTGAAGCTAAATAGCTCACCAGTGATTCATAAGTTGTGCAGCGTGTCGTACGCCTGCGTTTGCAATACTGATAAGTTAACGTTAAGCATAAATTGCTCAAATGTGTAATTTGTACAGCACGAGGTAATAATGGCACAAAGGATACACCATGCACATTAGATTGTGTGTCGACAATAGTAAGCGCCTGAACGAGTATGGTTTTAACACCAGTCGTGCCTGTATTGCAGGTTTCTGCTGGGAAGACACAAGGCAGCAGCTGACATCTACGAGGAATGCATTAAACTGAAAGGAAAATGCTGGGTGAATGTGACTCCACTTTTGGCGGGCTCTTTTCGTGACAGGATTTAGCACTGCTCAGAATCTTCTATGTCCAAATCATGCTTAATGACTGAAATAGCACCAATATTTCTGTGCCTGAAAAAAATGTATCGATTCGATCAGACTCAGTTCTCGCCTGTCAACCACTTGCAGTAAAAAGAAAACAGAAAGAAATGACAGAAACTTGGGTCATCATATGTACTAGTGGCCTCATGTCACAGCGTATATGTTTAATAATACGAAACTATTGTAATGTACTTTAAGTTTCAGCGTATAGTTATATCAAAGAGCATACTATTTTATGTGCCAAAAAATGATCAACCAGACAAGCGTAGCCCTGCTTGGCGTAAGCATGACGATAGATGTCATGAAAGAAATAAACCGATATGTTCGCACAGATGAGTTATGGATAATATTATTAGGAATAAGCATCAACACAACGCGCCTTATAAGGTTAGGGGCCTAAAAAAATATGCTTGAGGATCGAGTCATGTTTTAGGCCAAGGCCTTTCGGTGATACAGGCTCCATACGATGTTAGTCCATTAGATTGAGCCGTGGGTGGAATCTTCGTCAGCCTTCTGTGATGCCGCACCGTAGAAAGTATAGATAAATAAAAAGTACCCCTGAAAAGTACCCTGAAATTTTGGCCATTCCATCAACAACATTGTTTGAATTGGGTAACTAAACATGCAAGCAAGGCTTGTAGTTTCCAGCAGATTTAGTTTAAAGGGACCGACATCTGCCCAGAGCATTAAATGAGAGGACGGCACAGATGAAAAGATTGTACCTTATAGTGACTCAAACCAACCCTGTTTTTTTTCTCGTGAAAAGTGGAGCTATATTTTATTTCTTCAATTAAAATCACGAAAATAGCCTGTGGCGTCACCTGGCTGGTGGAAGAAACTTCGATTATCCGATTTGCCCTGTCACGTGACCGTAAACAATAGTGTAAACGGTCAAGAATTTTCCTGTTAGTATTAAAATATTGTTTGCTTCTTTATAGTAAAATGTACTAATACTCCATAACAAATGTACACATAGGCCTGTGTTAGTAGTACGCATTAAAGAGGCGTTGCCTCCGCATTACGTAATTATCCCATGCTCGTCAGCGTGCCTTGAGCAACTTTTCTGCGCGCTCGTAAAACCAAGCACACAGTTTCCGGGGTCGCTAAGAATTCGGGGCGACGTGGTTTTATTGCGATAGCAATTATATGAACACTCTCGGCTGGATTTTACCGCCGTCGTCAGCGACCGCCATCATTCACCGTATATGTATACGTATCTATATATATGAAAACGCAAGAAAGAGAAGTAATCCAGAAAAAAATGCTCCGGTGCGTAGAATCGAATGTTTTGATCTGCTTGCAATTCTTCGCGTGACATTCCAGTTTGTTGCTATCGCATTCATTGTTTCGCCTTTACGGCAAAGCTGTGACTTTTTTCTATTTATAATTTGTCTCAGAAATGACGTGTACTGCTAGTCCGCACGGCTGTGCATATGCACGGTGGCGTTTTCGGTGACTTGGCTTTGTTCGTGTGTCGAGAGAGTAACGATGACGGGACAAGCCATCCACGACACAGGCGCAACAACCTTGGGCGCAGGCACACGCAACGTGGTAGAAATACAGAGACATCGTCTCATTGTAACGGCTTGTTATCTTCAAAAATAGTTCTAAAGCTCAGAATCAACGTCGTTAAGCTTAGCTACAGGAAATTCAGCAAAAGCAGAACAACAACGGCATGTACAAGTCACCAGAAAGGCTACCAGCATCGCTATCGACATCGCTACCGTTGTTGGATAAACGGGCTTATCCGTGTTCAGAGCCTTTTGTATCAAAAAATACGGCTCATAAATAAAATGACTGCGGGCGTTTTGGATTAGCTACTGCCGCTACGAACACTACGAAGCGTAAGCTTTCTGTCACGCCGAGAAAAACTGAGTCGAAAAAAATGAGATGTTGGTCCCTTTAAAAGCATCCCTCACGTACTCACGTACTTAGCGACCGCAGTAGCTCAGAGTTTGTGGCGTGCTCAGCTGTCTGAGGACATGAAAGACGCTCGTTCAATATCGACCGCGACTGTCAAATTTCCATAGAAGCGAATGCCCATGCGCTGTGCAATATATTGAAGGAGTCCAGGTTGTCGAAATTGTTTGGAGCCTTCCACTGCGGCGTCTCCTGTAGCCAGAGTCACCTTTGGACTTTAACCTTGGTTACATAAACCAGCCTACCCTTCCGGTGCAACCTGCCGAATAGGCTTGACGCGTTGCTTAGTTGCATAAAGTTCGCAGAAAAAAAAAAGGTATCGTCGTAGAGTTCTGCGCTAAAAACCGGGGACAAAGAAAGTATAGCACATATTTAGCGCAATGTAGTTATTACGAGTAGTTAACAGATTTAAATTTGGATGCACAAATTGATCGTATTGCGTCTAAACTAGCCAAAGCTTGTGGTATAATATGCCGATTACGATACGTGCTTCACACCAAATAAAACACATGTTGTATGACATTCTGTTGCTATCATATGTCAGTCAATGTATAGTGTGGGGCACGGCATCAAGAACTAACATTCATAGCTTACGAACTTTACAAAAGAAAACTATTCGGCATAATGTCACTGCTCTGTTTAATTCACTTATCACTGAAATATTCCGCACTCTTAATGTACTTATTACTAAAATTTTCCGCACTCTCAATGCACTTTTCACTGAAATATTCCACACTCTCAATGTACTGCTTATTGAACACTTTCACGAATATAACCTCGTTTTGAAAAGCAAAAGGTATTTCCGGTGAAACAATGGTATATTTTTAAACTTACCTTCTTCTATCACAAGAATCATTATATAATTTCTGAAAACGAAATCACTGGGTTTTGCCGTTTTCGAGAAGTAATTACAGCTCATGTCGATTGCAGTACCAAGTGACTTGGGTATTGATTTTGTTGTATGCCTCGAAAACCGAGTTGAGCATGCTCTTACAAAAAAGGCGCTAAAATTGAGCCTATTAAATAAGGGTACAAATATATGAATAGTATTTGCCGATTTCACATTTTTTTCTGTTCTTCTTTATTAGTTGTTCAGTTTTCTTCTTTTCGTACTGCTTACTTTGATATATATATATATATATATATATATATATATATATATATATATATATATATATATATATATATATATATATATATATATATATATATATATATATATATATATATATATATATATATATATATATTTCGCCTTTTTGTCCGGCCGAACAATGTGAACTTTTGTTAGATATTAAGCTCTTATTCAGTATCTACGTATTTGCACGTTACCATTTCTGCATCGACTAAGTTTACACGTCTGTACATTACTGCTTATATATTTTTTGACTGTATGCTGAATTGCATGTATGGATGAAAATATGTAAATGTTGTATGTGGATAGATGAGAATATTGTGTGTTAATGTATATAGGTGAGAATGTGTCCAGATGTATATACGTAGTTATGTGGATATAGAAGCGCGGGAATACGTTTTTTTCCCGCCCCCTCCCTATTTGAACGCAAGCTGCACACTTGTCACCAAATGAATGGGGCAGGAACGCCGTCAAGCTGCTGCTTCGCAACTTTTAGTTCTTTGCTCTTGCATTTTTTTTTGCTGTAAAAAGGCCACGAGAAACTTGAAACACTCAATGTACGTGTTCCTTGTCCCTTCTTTTAGCGCTGAACTCCACGAAGACCTTGAGCCAACTCGCCCAGCAAAACATTCTTCTGAAATAACGTATCGCTTCTTTCTGAATGGATGCAGGACATATTACATTACCTCGGACTCTGCTATGCAAAGCTGAAGGACTACGAGCAGGTAACGACGTTTTATTCGTTTGTGCGTATACATACGGGCTGCATAACACTCAATGCACCCATTGAGAAGGCACCAAAGTTAAACTGGCTTCTTTGTCTTGCGTCTCGCATCTGAAGGCGAGACAACGCTTTGCAGAAGCCATACAGCAGAGTCCTCGGGACGAGACATTCGTCGCCCTGGGAGAACTGCACATTGCCAATGACGACATCAAGTCTGCAATCAACGTCTTCCGAAAGGCTGTCGAGTAAGCTCACAGATTAAGCAATACAATTATTTTGGGCTCTGTCGTATACACATTCATCTCCATTTCGTACTATAGTACCTTCACCACGAAAAGTACATTAACGTCGGGAGTGGTTAAATCTCGACTATTTCGCATTTCTATTCATCATTTCATGTAAATGCGATTACCATCATATAGGATACTGCCTGGATGTTTCTGGCTAGCCAACGGTTTTTCCGATTCACATAGCGCCCACGTAGTATAATGGCGAGACCATCGTGTCAGTGCGCGAATTATATAGCACTGCATGGGCCGAAAAATTCGGCCCGTGCTTGCACTTCTAAATTTGAGAAGCCCAGCTTCAGAAAAAAAAAGAAAACGAAAGCAAAAAAAAAAATGTGGTGTAGAGAGAAACCTATGTGGACAGATGATTGCACTGCATTTCAAGGCATTTGTTTTCTAGGAAGGAGTGATTTTTTTTCTTGTTTTGATGCACTAAAATCTCGGTAGTTGACACTCTGTCAATTAGAACTCACAGTTAGTTTGAACTGAATACCTGGTCCCGGCACAGCTGTGTGTATTTCTATGGGACAACACTTTGGATAGTTCGAACGCGTCGGTATCCACAGTGGTTGATTGAAACTGCAGGAGCCCACTGGCTTTCATCTCTCCTCACGCAAGCCAGCCAGAGGTGACCACAATATGTTGCACAACCAAACCATATCAAAGTGACTAGCGATTCAAACAACGCAATAGCAGCACTTCTCGACAGATGAATATTCGGACGCTGTGCTGGAGCTCTCGGTCAAGCTGCGAACGATACTAGCGCAGTCGCGACAGAAGAAGCGCGAGCAAATGCAAACGCCTCATTGCTTTTAATTTTGATTACTCTATTTCTTCCGTTTAAATGAACGGGCGTATCACTGACTGACCGATGAATTTTGATTGGTGTTAGAGATCCATGAGCTTAATTAACGAAATCACTTGCCAAGAATGTATATCATCATCTAATTCACGGTAACACCAAAGCCAGAGTTGGCTTCTTTGGGTCCGTGCAGAGCAGTGTGGTGTGATGTCCGTGCATTCTGGCACCCACCCATTATTTCAATAATAATAATAATAATAATAATAATAATAATAATAATAATAATAATAATAATAATAATAATAATAATAATAATAATAATAATAATAATAATAATAATAATGATTTACAGTGCCAAAACCACGACGATATGATTACGAGAGATGCCGTAGTGGAGCGGCCTCCGGGAATTATGACCGGGTTCTTTAACGTGCCCCTAAATCTAAGCACACGAGCCTAAATTGTTTTAGCCTTAACCGAAAATGCAGCTGCCGGGGACTTGATCACCCCGTTGGTTTGAACCGAGCTTTATTTGAACAGTGTGATAGCCCCTGTACGAGTTCGAATTAATGAGCTTTTAGTCTATACCTGTTTGTGAAACCCCATAACGGTATAGTGATGCATTATGCGTATTGCATCATTGTGAATTATGTGTATATAAAAACTAATCTGAGCGGACATGCTGCTTGCCCATGAAAGTGGACAACAATAAGCTTTGCTAGCTCGTGGCTATTATTGGTTGAGCCTAATTTGCGCATTTTTTCTTCTCCTCAGGAACAATCCCGAGAGTGCTGAGCTGAACACGAAGCTCGGATTATTGTACATGCAGGTGAGGTGTGGTGTATCTTCGAGCGCTTTTCATCTTCGCGCGCTACACTTAATTGTGTGTGTTCACATCCTAATACGCGTATTCAGAATGTTAGCATCAAAGAGAGCACCCACACTCTGTACGCACACTATTCGCATGAATAGAGTGCTTCAGGCAATAAGAACGATCTTTCCATAAATTGATACGACGTACACTACCGAAGATAAAACCTTACGCAGTACAGAAGGCACATACAGCTTCTGTACCGCGTGAGGTTTTATATGCTACTTTATATGAACACAGAACTGGATGAAAAATTTTCGTACTTTTGTACCAATTTTGTGTTTATTTCGGTGAAGAGGTACAGTCGTTACTTATTCGAAATGCATTCATACTCACAAATAGTGGCTACTCGATTTGAAGATTGGATTGAATAGGACCGTCGATCTGGTTTTAGAATTTCGAAGATTTGCATAGCCCTAGAATTAGGCTTGAAGTTTGAGGATCACACGTCTCTGCGGCTTGAACACACTCGTGCATTCAAATCCGTATCCTGTCATTAGGTGTTTAACTTAACTTAAGGACTTTCTCTCAGCGATGACCACGTAGTGAGTGCACATGCATGCTTTCTGGGAGTTGTTTGAAGAGCAGTAATTGTAGAAGGAAAGTAATTTGAGGTAATCACAAGCCTGTAAAAACCTGCACTCCAGTGCCAATATTTTGTAGCGATGCGTATGTCTTTTATTTCAAATATGATAGTCTTAACATATACCATTGACCGCTGACTCATCCCGTTGATAACATGGACAGACGGTTAGTGTGCATGAGCGCTGGCCAATCGTAAAAAAACACGAAAATGCATCGCTAGAAATACCAGTTCACAGCGTTGAGACTGTAGTGCCCCTGCAAATTTTCATGTACTTGCAATTTATACCAAGTTTTACCGTAAACGTGTGCCTTTCCTCTTCTTGTTCCCCCCCCCCCGCCCTCTTTCCGTGAAATTTGTCGACACTGCATGAACAAAATTAAATATAAGGTTTCCAATGTGCTTCGTTCATACCATCTTGTAGCCATTTCGTAATCATTGCCTGTAGCACTGGACAGTCAATCAAGCAATCATTCGCCACTAATGCTTCAACGGTAGCCCCAAAAGGGCGAATTCGAACGCTTCCAAGCTGTCTTCTGAGTCGCATAGTATACACTCTCCTTTTGCATATAAAGCGCACACTGCTGCTTTTACCTTGACAACCATGTTGTAGAATATGAGAACCCAATATCGGTAATCGTTTCGCTAACAGTATACCCACCGACATGCATATTCAGGCTTAGTATGTGATCATTTGAAATGCTTGGGGTGCCGATATAAAATGATGTTGTGATTTTCACCTGGGCCACGTTAACGTGCACGTCACGCGGTGTCTTATTATTATTATTATTATATTATTATTATTATTATTATTATTATTATTATTATTATTATTATTATTATTATTATTATTATTATTATTATTATTATTATTATTATTATTATTATTATTAACTGCATTCTGTGAGCAGCACTCCTGACTTTCATCGATCAATTGTTCTTACTCGTGGTGTTTGCGGTATGGTTGAGCGTTTTATCAGAAATCTGTGGAGATAAATAAATGCGACAAAAGTGCGCGAAACCAGTACAGATGGGTGTAAGGCAAGCGGACTATGTCACGATAGTTACTCAACGAGCTCTGCATTTATACTTTTCTTTCTTTCTTTCTTTCTTTCTTTCTTTCTTTCTTTCTTTCTTTCTTTCTTTCTTTCTTTCTTTCTTTCTTTATCTTTCTTTCTTTCTTTCTTTCTTTCTTTCTTTCTTTTTTGGGTATCATTTGCTTCACACCGATGAGCTTTCAAGATTTCATTCTCCCACGTCGTTCTATCTTTTTTCCGTTCCATCCTTCGCCAGGGCTTTACTGGGCGAGAGTGTTGCGTATCGATTAAGAGGGCAAAGCGGAAATGTGGTGTCACGTTCTGAACGCAGCCCACGACCGCACTTTTGCTTGAGAAAAAAAAAAAAACGTACAGGATGAGCCTCGGGCGCTTTGACCTCTCTGCTGAGAGCTACCGAGATGCTGACGTCTGCTGTTGTGTTCGTATTGCCCTCTTGGTGCAGGCACACTGAGTGTGTCCAAATATTACGCTTTCTATGTTCCCACGTTAACGTCTATTTTACGTCGTTTATCTCATAACGCAATGTTCAGCCCTCTCCCGATCACCACCATCAATGCGTGTGTGCGGAGCTACAATTATATACATCTGACGCACGGTTACTTTACTATAGGCTTTTGTCACCATACAGCAATATAGTATACGCTGAAGTTTTTGTTACGCTTGCCTTCGGTAAGTTCTTACAAACTTTCTTGCCAGGACACAGAGAAAGTTCATCTGTCTGTCTGTCTGTCTGTCTGTCTGTCTGTCTGTCTGTCTGTCTGTCTGTCTGTCTGTCTGTCTGTCTGTCTGTCTGTCTGTCTGTCTGTCTGTCTGTCTGTCTGTCTGTCTGTCTGTCTGTCTGTCTGTCTGTCTGTCTGTCTGTCTGTCTGTCTGTCTGAAAGAAGGAATCATACAGAAACGTACACGTGAACTTAAACTACACAGCTGTGTTTGATATTAGCCGATGCAGGATTTCAGGTGGATCACGTTCCACTGTAGACCGCCCAGTTATGCATGCCTATATACTGTAGGCTTGCAAGCACTGGACATGATAGAAAATCCAGTATCTGTTGTACGGACTCTGGGTATGGCGCTTTCAGCCTGACGACGAACAGGCGAAGTGTGCCTAGCAATGGTAGAAACACTATGAGGATTCACTTGTTTTCTTATGGCAACTTGTCAATCGTGGATTCTGGATTCCCTTTTGCCAATGTTCACAGTGAATCTGCATGTCGCTGTGACTTCGGCAACGGAGGCCAAGAGCAAATTAGAACAAATTTAGAGGACACACAGCATGGGGCTGAAACGAAAAACTAATGTGAAGGTTAACCTGCGGAACTGCTTTAAAAAGGAATGAAGGAACGGCTCGTTGTCAGCACATAGCGCTCCCTTTAGGAGGAAAATAGACGCGTCATGATTCAATGCTCGCGTGCTCGCTGGTAGCTGTGGAAATTTTCAAGGGAACATATACTAGCGAATGCGCATGTATACTTCTCGAGAACGTAGTGGAGAAGCCGGCACTAAAGTGGTCGTTCCACCGATTAGTATACGTTTGAGTTGGTGACCTATACCAGACTGGGCGCTTCAGCTATTTGGTTTGTCATTAAGAATAGTAAAATGGCATGAAGAACAGCGCCTGTATGCGCCTGCCTTTAGTCATTCCCCCAACATTCCCATCGGGTGCATATCCGTGTACAACTCATCCTGAACTGAGAATAGGTTTCGTGGAAATCATTCTCACCAGGTGTTTTGGATGCGGACAGCTCATTTGTAATCTATTGTTGGGAGTTACGCCTGGATAGTGGTTGTGAAGATGCCACCAAAAAGGCGTACAGAATTACTCGATTTCATCATCGCAGCAAAACCAACCCGAATGAAGTAGTTCATGACCAAGCGCGAGGTCTGACATTCCGCGATGGTCCCGATACGCTATAGACAATCCGGGTTGGGAGCATAACTTCGACCCATTACTCTCTTTTCACAAAACAGGGAAACACTATCAGCTTAGGTGCAAGAAACTCCGGCTCCCGCACCCAAAGCTGACTATTTACCTATATCTCCCACCCTGAAAATGTACGAACAGGATATTTCCCGTCGAGAGGAAAATTCAATCGCTTTGCTCCGGACATCAATGCGCACTGCCCCGATTGACATGAAGAGTATTGCTCGTTAGTGCACATGCTCTGGCGATGTTAGGCGCTACAAAATGACTCTTTTAATATAAACAAAAGGACTGGGAGGAAGCCCTCAGAAGAGGCGATCTAGATAAACAACATAGGGCTCTCCAAAGGGCCCGCGATCGGGTGGAGAACCACGGCCTTCCGGCCCCAACGTGGGCGTGGCCCGCCAGTACGACTCCGCAGTTCCTTAGAGCCCAAATAAAGTTTGTTGACTGACTGGCTGACCAGTGTTATGTAAATATATAAGAATTAAAATATGAAGAAATTATCATATCTGCTCCGAATCTACCGAGAATTAGAATATGGGCCACATTCATGCATGCGTTCTCGGTCGGTGCGAACTATCTCGTTGCCAGCTAAATAATGGCTGGTAATTATTGTTATGTGCCCGCAGGACAAAGACGAACAAATGCTTCGGCATAACCACTGCAGCACAGATTGCTATAAGACAGAGGAGGTGCCCTTTTGCACTGCTATCTAATCTAACCCCATTGAAAATGTAGCCAGTCCTTATAGAATTTTGAATTCCAGCAAAATGCTAATAAATTACCTCGTTTGCTTCGCTATAAACGGGAATATAATATCATGAAAAAATGTGTGATTCGTCACACGCACAACATTCTTCCAATGTTGCCTAAAAGTATAAATGTTTACGGGCTAAAGATATAAGTTACACCTTCCTAAGCACACGGTGTTCTTTTCATTTCACTAACATAAAAATGCGACCACCGAATGTGGCCACCGAAACACGGCCACCTCATTGAACCCACTTCCTTGGACTTAGCAACGGAATGCTCAAGCCACTAATGCCTCGCGGGGGGGGGGGGGGGGGGTAGCAGTGCTTCACTGACATTTGTTAAGCTGTATCAGCAGCTCTTATCGTTTACTACGACGTTGATGTCGCTGTTTTTGCGGTCGTATATGAAACTAGGTTCACCTTTATTATTTACAACGACGTTTCGGCTTATCCGAGGAGGTATGGAGAGCCTATAATGAAGCGTGCCTACTGCAGCTTGTTCTGACCACCAGCGGTGGGTGACGGTCTGCGCAGTGCAACATGTATCCGAAGGCGTTCGAGCGTCTGGGTGCGGCGCTGGCCAGCAACCCGAACTACGGACCTGCCGTGCTAGCGGCTGGAAGCATCATGCAGACGTACGGAGACTACGACGTGGCGCTGACGAAGTATCGCGCCATCGCCTCGGCGCCAGATGAAAGCCCCGCTCTGTGGAATAACGTCGGCATGTGTTTCTTTGGCAAGAAAAAGTACGTCGCGGTAAGATACCCGTGACAATTCTTTAAGTATTATTCTGCTGGTTTCATATTTATCGGCATTATAACCATGAAAAATGATGCATGCTATTGCGAGCTTTATGGACAGGAAAAAGAGAGAGATAAGGTGGATATCCTGACAATTTTATCATTTAAATGTTCGCTTGCTGGCATTTTCCTGAACTCCACACTCCAGCGCGATTCTAGAAAGTGGATGGGGACGCTGCCTTCGAAAAGGCGTGTTCACAGGTCCTGAGCGTTGATAAGAACCTATTGTTGAGAAACGTAGCGTAATTTTCAGCCCAGCGCAGGGGCTGTGCTCAACTCGGTCGAGTGAATTGGATGAACGATAAATCGAGACATTACAGAGTACGATTGTTACTCGCTGCATGAAGTGCCCATATTCATGTTGTGTTTAGCATTGTGGATGTGACATAAATCATAACAAATTGAGTATACGTGACTTCCCGTCTGGCGATGAGAATTTCGGTGCGTCTAAACAATTATACCTCGGGGTAAGCAGCTGTATAGAAAATACCATAAAGTCGGAATCTTTTTCGTTTGATTCCCAAATCTTATTCCGCGTTTCTACATTTCAAAATGCTTCAATGACGTTCGTATAATTTTGCAAATTTCACCGCGTGAAGTTATTACGCATGCGGATATTACGCATGTGCATTTGTCATAGTTATACTGCAGGCAAAAAACGATTGCATTTTCTTTCAGCTTGCACATGGAATAAAAGGACGCCCCTCGACGCTAATCGCGCTTAGGGGGGGGGGGGGGGGGCACTTAGCGGTTTACGGCAAACATTGCGCATGTCACCATCTACAAATTTTCGGCATTCTCGGTGATAATATTTATTTTTTATTTATTTTACAGATACTGCAGGCCCATCTTGGGCCCTAGCCAGAGGGGCGGAAGCGTACTCGTAAAGGCTAGACATTTACACACAGTGCATTGAAAGAAAAAAGAACAGATGAAAGACAGTTTCTAATTTGTGCAGCATAGCTAAAAATAATAACACCTTGAACATCTCAAAAAGTGAGGAAGCAATATGCAATATTCACACAATAAATGCACATTATCAGAGTAATATACACAAAACATTATTAAAACAGTATTTACATAACGAAGGATCATTATTAAAATAGCCGAACATCAATCCTGAAGACCTTTCGTTGCTTTTATACTATGCACTCATGATATTGGCCGCGAGTTACATTTGTTAATTGTATTCGGAAAAATGAAAACGTGAATAGGTTAGTTTTGGTGCTGTATGTGGTTAGCGATTCATTAATGTCGATGCCTTGTAGTTTGTGACGCCAATGGTGTCACGTAGGGCTGAGAGGGAAGTAGCAATAGACGATTCTTCAAATGAAACAGAAATTTTAATTTGTCAATTTCTCTTCGTAATTGCAATGATGTTATGTCGTAACATTCATTAGTTGAGTAGGAGAGTCTGTTCTGCGGTATTTGGAATAAATAAATCTAACCGATTTTCGTTGAATAATCATCAATGCTTCGACATTCTGTTTCGGATGAGGGTCCCAGACAATGGGTGCGTATTTCAGCTTGGGTCTTATTATGAATGAATATGCGAGAAGTTTGACATCGGGTGGTGGGTGCTTTAACTTATGTCGCAATAAGCATAGCTTATGGAAGGCGGATGAACAAATGTTCGAAATATGGGTGTTCCAACTGAGTGTACTAGTTATTGTGACGCCGAGGTATTTGTAGAGAGGGACCTTCGTTAGCCGTTCTAAAGGGAGACTATATGGGAAATGTAAAATGTTTTTCTTTCTACGCATGTTCATGAAAACCGTTTTGTTATCGTTAAGTTGCATTTCTCGCTCTTGACACCACATATGTATGTTCTGCAGGTTAGCATTCAGCAAGGCTTGATCGTCCGAACATTTCATTTCATTAAAAAGCAAGCAATAATCTACGAAAAACTGGTTCAATAATGACCTGGACGATGTCGTTCATGTATATGAGAAATAAAAGCAGGCCTTTTACGCTTCCTTGTGAAAGTCCTGAGTGGCGTGAAAAATTATTGTCAATACATACAAATTGTGTATGGTTTTTAAGGTATGCTGCAACCCAAGCAACAATGAACTCGGGTAGTCCTACGGTTTTAACTTTAAAATTAGTTTTGTATAGCTAATGAGATCAAATGTCTTTTTAAAATCTAAAAATATTACGTCTACCTGGCCTGATTTATCTAAAATAGAGGAAAAATTATAGAAGACTGTGGTTATTGGAGTTACTGTAGAAAGACGTTTCCTAAAACAATGCTAAAATTGAAACAGTACACGGTTATCGCTAGAAAAAATTCGTATTGTAAGTGGCAATAATATCTTCAAGAAGCTTACAGCAAGATGCAGTTAAAGATATCGGTCTATAGTTTCACAGTAATGCGGAGTCACCCTTCAGCACTGGTACAATTCTTACCCTCCTCCATTCCTCAGGAATTATAACAGGCGTTAATAATTTTTCAAAAAATAATTACTAGATAATTACTAGCGCACTTCAGACGATAACTGTGGAAACGAAATGGAAGAGCATTCCTTCTTTTGTTCTTTCTACTGATCTCCCCCCAAGAACCTCCCCCCCCCCTGCACACACACATACATCTATACGCTATATGTCTGCGAAGTAGCAATATATGGGGTTTTATGTGCCAAGCCCAGGATGTGATTGTTATATGGGAGGGCTCCACAGCCATTTGGTGTTATTTTAATGTGCACTGATATCTCACAGTATACACGGACCTCACACGTTTCGCTTCCGCCGAAAAGCAGTCGACTTTCACCTTAATCGGAAAGCAACAGCTCTCAGCACAAATTGAGCTAAAGGAAAAGTTGGCGATGATGGTGCGTGTTGCAGGCCATCAGCTGCCTGAAAAGAGCCAACTACCTGAACCCCCTGGACTGGCAGATCCTGCACAACCTCGGTCTGGTGCACCTGACCATGGAGCAGTACGCCTCGGCCTACCATTTCTTCAATGCCGCCGTTCACTTCAATCCACGCAACGGGCAGCTCTTCATGCTGCTCGCCAGTAAGCTAACACCACATATATATCTTTTCCTGTAACATGGCACAGTACTTATACCATCATTTAGGTGCACCACTGCAGCCAACGAACCCCATAGTTACAAACCTGACGACACGTTATTAAGACGGAAAGTTGAATGTCATCGTCATATAGGTCTTGTTCCGTGCTTGTATACATTTCAATGTACCACAATAATTGTTAGCAAATGTCACCCCGTGAAGTAATTACGTTTGCGGAACTGCTCGGATGACGGTGGACGCCCTCTGATGTGGAGGGGTGATAGCTATTAGGCAGTATATCAAAGCCAACTTAATTCTACGACTTTCTGATTATGTAAATGAAGTATACCTGGACAGATAACTTGTATAAAATGTTTTAAAGTTAAAGTGAATCTTGAAGGTGTTTTTTTTCTCTTGTAATTGTAATCAAAATAAATTAAAAAAACAATTTAGCGGTGTCGGAAGAAGCTATCTGTGCTATTGTTAACAGCTTAATTGCGCTATTGCAAAAAGATATTGTGTATTTCGATCATTTTCAAGCTGTTTACAGGGTTCCAGCTGAAACAACAAGTGACAAGAGGTTTGTCGACATTTTATCGCAGTGGTTGTTAACTGCATCCTTGTACGCATGTCCATTCTCTTTTTTCACCTATATATTCACACTACTTCGCTATCACATCACTGCTGAAAGTCAGCGATCTTTTATGTCCTTGTTTATTGCTTTCGTAGTTACACTGTAACTACTTCTAGGTCGCGCTGTTCGTATACTCAGTTATGTCCTACCAACTTGCCCAAGTTTCCACGCTTCAGCGCTCGGAAAGTGAATGCGCATCCACGCAGGGCACGATTTTTGTTTTCTTCTCCGCAACTTGTGCTTTTTTCTACGTGCTCCTGAACGGACTCCATCCATCCGTTCAAGAAAACACGTCATGCGTCTGCGTGTATCTTCAGTGACTCACCATGCATGCTTTCTCAGTCCTATTGGCAGCAGCTCCAGTAAATGTTTTCAAAAGGGTTTAAAACCAAAACAGTATGCATAAATTACGGGCGGGGTTGGGTCGAGGTCCTTTTGAATTGTGTAAAAGTAGCGCAAGCAAGAAAATGAAAAAAGGCAATCACAGCACCATGCTTCAATGGTCCGCTTTTGAAAGGTTAATAATGTCTTCACCAAAGCTTGTTGCTGTAGATCTTTTTTTAAAGTGACAGGACTATCATAGCTGCAATTGTGATTCATGCTGCAAACTTGTAAGCTGTTCTTGTTGGAATGAAAGCCGATATCTTGGTATTAACAATAAACTGCAATGTGGACGTTGACTTTTGCATAATACATAATTCATTACGATATACTATCACACCATAACCTGTATGATAGCATTTGCGATAAGGTTTTTACAAAGTTAGATTGTCACTTCATTCCACCACCCCGTGATATCCGTTCATTGAGTCGACGTCATTGGGTAACAGCTGGTTGTGTAATAGTTCCCAATGTCGACTAGTAACACTAGTAACCATGCTTAGCTTGCTATCTTCGTAAGCAATGGTTCAATTAGCTTTCTCTCATTAAATTGGATGATAGACGCAGGACGCACGCAAGTGCTGTCGCAAGAAATCGTTTCTGGTACTATACAGGATAATCAAAACTGTTCTCCCATAGAATTGATTGGGTTCTGTTGTCATTGTCAGCTATGCAGTCGCATGCGTCGGTTAAGTTGTCGATAATTTTTTTAAATTCTTGTTTCTAACTGCCGTATTACTGTGCTTTCAGTTGCGTTGAGAAACCTTCAGGACCCGGACAACGCAAAGCGGGCGTACGAGAGGGCCATGACTTTGGACGAGTACGTGAGCTGCGACTTACATCAAGGAGCCTGCGCCAATCATGAATGCATGTTGTCCTGTACAATGCTATAGGTTTGCTGTAGGTTTCTTCTATGAGAGTTCGCAGCCTATTAGCGACAGCAAACTGTCGTGCATGATTGTGCACAACGAAGTTTCAGTATTATTATTAAGGTAACTAGCTAACACATAGATTAGCAAGAATCCCGCTATTCATCGGTGTGTGTGTGTGGGTCTTAAATGGTTGACGAAGAAACGAAGTCATGCATCACAACTGGTACTGTATTTTAAGGCACGGAACGACAAAAAAGAAATTTCCATAAAATCATGAAATGCCGAGGTTTAGATAGATTTTTAATTTTTACGAAGTTTTTAAATAAATAGCGTGCGTAACACGAAAAGCCATACTGATGCACCGTGACGATTATAATTGCGTAAGACACCGTCATTTCCAGCAGCTCGGCCTGTCGGTTACCGGCAATATATTTTTTTCATATTTTGTGCACGCATCAGCCAACATCCGCAATAGCGAAATACGCCACCTCTGCCGAACGAGCTGTGCAATTTTCGTCTTTCCGTGTGCACCCCGTCTCTCGACCTTGCAGTCATGGTTTGGCCTCATCCATTCTGCCTACCACGCAGGGACCCTCTGGTGTGCCTCAATTACGCCGTCTTGATGCACGACTTGGGCGATCATAAGGCGGCGACCAGGCTGCTCGGAAAGTTCGAAGAGCGGTGCCTCAAGCAGCAGCAGGCCTCGGGAATCGAAATTGACGCGGCGGTGAGTGCGGCTTCTCGTGTGCATGCTATATTTGACTGCCACGCGCTCGCGTGCTTCCTTGTACACACACACTTATGTTACGTCATTCTGTTAGAAAAGGTCCACACACATTTCATAACGACTTACCTTCCTAACTGCGGCTGTTCAGAGCTGATTCAGCGTCGATCGAGGTAAATATTTGGTACAACGCGGCTCGGTTTAAAAAAAAATGTTTTTTTTTTCATTGTCGTGAGAATTCCACAGAGTTCAGAGAGGCTGTCTTGACGAAATATGTTGCACACCGCTTGATGAAGAATGTAGTTTTTTTGCGTGAGCCGTGCAACATCGAGTGTACAAAGGTAAATGTTGGAACATGAATGAGCGTGGGGCAAGCTAGAAAAGGCAATAGCTTGGCAAGTCACTCCTGGAAGAACAGATTCGAGTTCTTTTTGCCCCTGAATCTTCTTATATGTGACTAAAAAATGTGTAGCCGATATAGACCAGAGTTGTCATCACTTGTAGCGGGCAGGGCAACGGATGAGGTGGAGTCAATGATCGCGACAACGTCCGGTTTATTCTTGTCGGATGCCCGCCGGCAGCGTTTACTCGTTATAAAATTTTGACGTAACCATTCCCGCAGTCCCTGTGGGGGTGAAGATTCGTCGCAGCACCCCCCTGACTATTGTCTATATGTATGAGGCTGACTTTGCTCCTTCCTCCCCTCTTGGGTGACTACATGCAAAGCGACTGACCCCCCCCCCCTCCCTGCCCCATGGTGCCACGCCTATGCCTGGTGGCCACGCATCTAGGGCCAGGATTAGGTATGCTTGCTCTAAACGCGGTTGCGAGAGTAAACTAATATGGTCCATAAAAGCTGCTTCAAATAGAACGTTGCGTGGTTTTGAAAATCGGGTAGCCTAAGTGGTCTTTTGTTGCCACACTTTTAGGTGACGCAGATGGCCAACAACCTGTCCAGTTCTCTGCAATCGACGAGCGCGGACAGCAAGAGCTACGACGAAGTGCCGGACTCGCCAGACAGAAACGACGAGTCCTCGCAAGAAAGAAGCGAATAAAGACAAGTTGCTGAATCCGGAATACCTTGCGCAGCCCCAGCCTCTAGCGAACAACTCTGGGCCATCCAATAGGCCCGCGAGGCGGCGGTCACACAAGGCCTTGATGCACCCACGCGGGAGAATATAAGGCCTGGTCGGCGAAAGCTTTGCCGGACTACCAATAAAATTGTCACCAACCCAAATGCACTTGTCTTGGCCCCAACGAAGAATGTTCTTTTCTATATTAGAAATAGTACACCGGCAGCAAACGAAGACGATATGTATACCACCTGCGACTTAGAAAAAAAAAATGTTGTCAGATTGACGCGGTTTACGTTCTCCTTCGGATAAAACCGCCAGTAGCACTTGAGGAACAGGTGAAATGGGCACGTCCCTGTCCTCTGCTTGTATATACTTCGTGTGTGCATTCAAGTACTACCGATACCTCTCTTACCTTCTCTCTCTTTTCTCACGGTGCAGAGTAGCAAAGCAGGCGTGCGTATGGATACCCTCCCCGCTCTTTTTTCAATTTTATCTCTCTCTTTCTCCACACCGGCCAGCATCTCATCGATATTGTGCTGAAGCCTTCGATAAAGCAGAGTGGGCCTGGAAACAAACGGGTGTTCATGACATCGTAATCAAAATCAAGACGAAATGTACATGAGCAGGGCATGTTGTGACCAGTATGTAGTGAGGGAGTGCTTGGCTGTGCGTCAACGTCAACAACTTTCCTGTAAGCTGCATCCACCTTCATGCAAATAAACAGAGATTCTGATTTTACCGAAGCTATACATTTTATAGGATTGGGGCATCCATAACCATCATCCAGAAAAAAACACCCCGTGAACGTTACGTGTTTCACACAGAGAAATGCTTTAAGAAATAGCTAATGTATCAAGTTGCCTCTCTTATATATCATTTTTCAGCATGCAGCTCAATATTTGTTCGTTTCTGTGTGTTTCATGTTTCCAACTTTCACGCAGACGCATAGAAAGCGAGACGGCATAACATAGTGGACAAGGCTAAATTACGTCTCGTTTTGCATACTATATACGCTTTCAAAACAAGTCCAGTGCCGGTGAAGGCGCGCGCATTAATCAAGCACGACTTTATTCACGTCGACCAAAACTTGACGTTTATTAGTTCTGCATCATACTATATTTCAGAAAATCTCAATAAAATGCACAATGAAAAGAAATATGCGAGTACACATGTAGCGGAAAGATGTGTATGCGCGCAGGTCACGCAGGCGAGCATTATTGCTTATAGACTTTCCTCCTGAGTGAAATGAATATTATACCATTCTTTCAGCACAGCAGTTACGTTCACCTGGGATGAAATCATCAGTGAAACGTTCAGTCTGAAGAATGCCCATAGTTATACCTGTACGTTACATAGTACCATCTGACAGTTGTAATACCATATGACTATCAATAGCGTTATATATTAGCACCGCTTCACATGCTATACCTCATAACCTTTTAGTACGAATGTATGCCATAGTAATATACAATAATCTGGGGTTTAACGTACCAAAACTACAGTATTATTACAAGGGGCGTCATATAGTAGAGAGCTCCAGAAATTTCTACTATATCTGACCAGATGGAAACTTTGAGCAGAAGTCACCCTACCACATGAACCAAAGTAGCAATCAAGTTCATGAGAGCCGATCCCACATCTTTCTCGCTGGTGGCTATTCTTCCTCCCATTAGTAGTACTCTTTGTCTTATTTGACCTTGTGACTCTCATTTCTGCCCTTTGTTTTCATCTGTTCATTGCCCTCTTTTGCATAAGTAAATAATTTAAACATCCCCGCATATAAAAAATTCTGCCGCTTTTTCTTTAACTACCCGCAACTAATAATGCCCCGCACAAGGTTGGCTAAACTTCAATTTCTGAATATGAGGCCTTCGTAACGTCATAATTCACGGCCGATATTTACCACAGAAGATATCCTTTTGGCGTCTCCGCAGGCCTCGAATATTTGAACAACTGAGTATTTCAGGGATCAGAAAAAAGAAGCAGAGGCGTCATTGCAACCCTTCAATGAACCAAACTGAATCTCGGCAACGTGCTCATACAAGTGGTTTGGTGCAACTACGCAGCTCTAGAACTGCATTTGACGTCGCGGTCAAGTCGACCTAGATAAAGTTGAAGTCTTTCGAATTCCACGTCGATACGGGCGTGGAACTTACTGTACTACGTGAGGCACAAGGATGCATTTCATTTTTTAGGCGCAGCCTGAAGTCTTGGTCCTCTTTTGCCACATTGAGACAGCCCCGCCCAGCCGTGGTGGTTTAGTGGCTAAGGTGCTGACCCGCAGGTCACGGGATGGAATCCCGGTTGCGGTGGCTGCATTTTCGATGGAGGCGGAAATGCTATAGGCCAGTGTGCTCAGATTTGGGAGAACGTTAAAGAACCCCAGGTGGTCAAAATTTCCGGAGCCCTTCACTACGGCGTCTCTCATAATCATGTGGCGGTTTTGGGACGTTAAACCCCACATATCAATCAATCAACATTGAGACAGCCCTAGACAGCCCTTGAATGTATGCGAGGTGCAACGCTCTGATAACCCGATGCAAAACCGGTGATTCTGGCTGACACCGCAAGGTTTATAAAAACTTTTGAAACCTTGCAACAATTGGGGATGCTTGAACGCACCGACAAAGTCACTCAATCTGCAAATGACAGCAGTCGGTCAGTTTTGATTTCACTTTCATCAATTGACACATCAGCTGCAATTTGCTTGATGGGATCGCGAATATATGATTACCCCAGATGGAATTCAACTTTATCATTATGTTTCATCTGTGTTCACCTTTCTCTAACCTATATAATTGCGTCCACTACTCCATGGGTCATCCTGACGTGACGGTGAATTTTGTGTCGTTGGTGCATTGGTGTTGCGTTCATCGGCCGCCTTGCTTGGTTGAAATCTCGACAGGCAGATGCATGTGCGACAAACGATCTTCAGACTAATTATCTAAAATTTATTTGTTTTCTTAACTTTGATAACTTACGCAAGTGTGCAAGGGGATATGGGCAATGTGGACAGTCTTAGTGGTAATATACAGGAACTTCTCCATTAAGAATGAAGTCCTACAAAAAAAAAAAAAAGCCCCTGCAGAATGAAGGTTCCTTTATCTGCGTGCAAGGCTTCGTGAAAGCTGCGCGCGCCATCCTTCACCTTTTCTTTAAGCACGTGTATTTTTGCTAGAAGCAAACAATCAAATAATTACCTTGAAAGTCTCAAGGCAGTTTGACATCTAGGAAAGGCGGTATGAAAAAGAGCTCCGAATTAATTTATGGTATCTGACAATAATGAACACTCTCGTTATACAGCTATCACACTAGTGAAACGCTGTCGCTGCTGCAGGCAATTGAACGTGCGACCTCGATCGTGCTGAACAACAGAACGCTACAGCCACTGGGTCCATTGGAGTCGCTATGAAAGCCGCATTATAACTTAGTCCTGGCTTGACGCAGTTGAGCGAATCTTGCTGTGATACATTTCATTTTACAAGGCGGTGAACTGGTCGCAAAATAGAAATGGTTAATTAGCCTGTCCCCACCTTTATGAACGTTATTATTTAAACCAGTTACCTCAGTTGCAGCTAAGTCCGTGAGATGTGTCGGGAAAGGAGGCACCCAAGGAAACGCTTCCCTGGGCGTATGCAGAAACATAAGCTTGCGTTTCAAAGCTTTTGCTGGGTCTCTGGATGTTGTTAGCGGCTCTACGTTATTGGTTTATTCTCTCGTCATGTGCAGTTCAGGAATTATGTTAAACAACATGCCATTAAAGTAATACAATGTGGTGAAAAAAAATAAAGCGACAAGTGACAATAGGTAGGCATAATGAATGAAGCACCCAAGTTAAGTCATGCTTACTCCACTTGCATTTCAAGTATACATCATGCATCATTTGTGACTCCCGGAACATCTTTCACGTGTTTTTATAGGATCGGCTTTTGGCAACCTTCACGGAACAGGTGACGCATTCCTTAGGAGTGGTTTTGTAGTGCTACTAGTGGGCGAGTGCCATCCACAATCTTCCGAATGCAAGTTGCAACTGTCGTTAAATTAGTAGTCGAGAATTTGAACCTACTTCATAGTAAACACGACATCGGCAAAGTGTTCCTGAACTTTTCTTACATTACAACGTTTTGGGTCGGAATAACTCGTCCGAACTTTCAGTCTATGAAATGACAGACACTAGTAACTCATCACCTTTCGATATTACATAGCAGTCGTGGAATGGCTCATGCAATGACAATTAGTTTGTGACCATATGATAATTGGCCGTATAAGACGTGCAGTCACAGCACGCCTGATATAATCAAACGTTACTTACTGCTCTAGCCAAGTTTGTAGAGCTAAAAGTTATAGTAAAGCCTGAATACTTACCTCACCCAGAAAGTAGCTGCCGATTTGCGCATCGAAAAAGAAAAACGAAGGTCAAGAAAATATACGAGAACACAGTAGAGTCGTGCAGTGTGAAGCTTTAAGCTTCCTTAACAACATCGAGTACTAGTTGCAACCACGCCGACAATTCAAATCGCAAGATATATTGTCAGGCACTCTTCCCATGCATATACCACACAAGAGGACATGCAGCAATGGTCACCTCTTTAGAACACCATGTGTTGCCATTCGCACATGCGGTTTTGTTACTGGACTGGACACGTATACTCACAAAACGCTGCGATTATTCGTACGAGAAAACCCCAGCCAATCCATACGCGGAACACATTACTAGGGAAAGGCAACCCGCCGAAGGCAAAGAGCACTCACGAAGAAAATATCCCCAGATTCGGCGCCTGACAAACCGCAGCAAGCAAGCGACACGCATGGTGCAACAAAGGGAGAAAGGAAGAACGTTGCCGTTATGCTAAAGAACGAGCACGGAGGTAGTATAAGTTGCATGGCACACTGGACCGACAGGTTGTTGTAATCTCAGAATGTAGTTTTCGTATAGAACGATGCTACAGAGTATTCATTCACGCGCAGCGGCCACTTTTATACTTTTCGGTGTTCATTTAAAACGATTTTTACTGATTTAAGTTAGAGCAAAATCGATCAGTGATAGGCACGGCTGGATTATATGTAAACCCTATACGGGCCCCTAATCCTCTTGGACTCGTGTTCACGAAAAGTTCCTATGCTATAGAAATGTTTGCAACAAAAATGTTCAGGCAGTCCTAATACTGGGGACATTAGAGAAGGCAGATGGAGTGGTAAAAAGGACTAATAAGAACTTTAGTGATTTGCTTCCTGGTTCTTCTCTTTTCAAGCATGCCTTAAAAATGTCAGGCAAGATGCAGTTTAAAATATTTTTGGTACAAAACACGAGTGTTCAAAATCTCGAACGTTGCTCGCTAATGATCGCCGCCGATTTGCTCCTCGGTATACATCACTCACGATTCGGGAAATAATGCTGGTATTAAACGGTGTCCAGGCGCGAAGGAAAGTGGCCGCGCACATGTAGCAGCGCTATACGAGAGCACCGAAAACACACGCGCAATAACGACAGAATGTAGAGGTGCAGAGAGCGAGTTCACTTCTGGGGATTCACTTTCGTTTCGAGCCTGTTGGACGCGGCCGCGAAGGACTGCTGCTGTTGAAAGCCCGGCACAAGCGGGGCGGCGCGCTGCAAGTCGTCCTCCGTGTGAGCCGGTGCATCGAGACGGCCGATGTTGTCGTTGATGTAAAAGAAGTCGGGGGCATTCTGGCACGGCACTGACTCCTCGGGATGGGCGCACGTCAGGCTCAGCTGGTTGAACACGGTCTGGTTGCCGCAGAAGAAGCTGTACTGCTGCAGTTCGACCGAGCCGTCCTCCTTGTAGATCTCGTTGCAGATGTGGAACAGCTGGCAGTTGTTGCTGACATCAGCGAAGTAGCCGCTCCTCTCGCACTGGAAGGTCGTCTGCACACCGCCGACCACGAACTCTACGCCATCGGGTAGCTCGTACGCCGCACGACGGGTCTGAACGCAAAGCCAGATAAGTGAAAAAAAACTCAATTCACATTGCATTCGACACCATGTCACATCGTGTCTAGAACGTAATAATTCTTAAACCTCACTCAGCATGCTGCTAGTTTCTTCATACAGAACTATCCGCTCCGAAATCTCGAACACAGAGCGGTCAATTTTACACGTCATAGCCTCCTTTAATAATAAAAATTTAACAAATGACTGCATTAAACATTGACAGATTGGCATCCGGTCCTTTGTGTATATATGGTTACTTAATATTCTCGTGAATGGTTCGGGACGACTCAACGACAAAGGCGCTTAGTGTACGAGCGCCAATAGAGCATTCTAAAAAAATACAAATCCCTTATGTTTCTCTCATTTTTTTACGAAACACAAGTGCCCATGTCAAATTCTACCAAAAAGTTTGGTGATACAGGGGCACTTGGCATGCACTGAACAACTGAAGCTCAATGACGTGCAACAATTTAAAGCACAGTGGAAGGCTAATGCTGTACCTTAGGTCAACCGCGGCCAGAATTAACCTGCCCTTTCAAGTTTATGCCAATAACACAAAGGCTGAAGAAACACAGGAGTATTTACATAGCAGACTTACCCTTGTCTGGACTTTTGCAGCTTGTGCTACAGCGATGCAAGCTTTTGTCAAAAAGAAAAAAAAAGAAACACAAAGTTAGTCCCCTTTAGGTAATGCACATGCTTCAGGGTCGTTTAACAAAACAGATGCGTGCTGACCGAGAACGCTCCATGCCTCCCTATATATCCATAGAACTTTTTTCAATGCAAGCGAGATGGTCACTTGTCGCACGGGGAGAAAAGTGACTCCATCGGGTCACGTATTACACACCGCAGGGAAATCAGCGTGAAAGTCGCCGCTATGTGATAGGCAATAAGATGTGTAGCCAGCAATCTATTTTTTTTTTGCCGGTTCCCCTTAAATACTCCGCCAATAACTGCTTCTTGACCGCCATTAAAGCAGACTGCGTCGCCTTTGTTCGACTCTTTCATTTATCTATGCCCAACAGTACGATGATCACATATGTCACTTACAGAATTAGTGAACTTCCAGCCAATATAACAAACCAATACGTGGTGATACAATCGCCGAATCGCATTATGCGGCAGCGGTGCAGGCTTTCTTGTAAGCGTTGAACATTTTTCTTTCGAGAAATTAGAATGAGGAAAGAAAAGACGAAGTATGTATGCCACTTTGTTAAACAACATATTGTGTAATGATAAATATTAAGTAGCAGCCCATCATCTTATTCAAAACCTGATGACCACGTATCCAAGAACTCCATTTAAATGACATTAGGCTTGCTACCTCAACAGCGCCGTATAGGATAACAATTATACTTGTTTTGCCCAACTTTTATTTGTTTCTTTCATTGTGGTAACGTTTTTTGCAGCCTTATTTCGTTCAAAGGAGCTAAGCTCGTTGTTAGAACTTCAATACCGAAAGAGCGCGAAAATTCGAAACAGGGGAGGCAGACCACCGTTTCCAGATTTCTCGCCTCGTCTTTGTGCTCTGTTTGCAGCATGGAATCAGGGGCAGAGGTTCAGCCAAATGAACCATTTTCTAGAAAGGGGTGGCATAAACGGAAGCGACGTAAAAACAAAAGAAAAAAATCCAAATCACCGTTCAACATTGACAGAGAAGTGTCTTTTTGCTATGATTATTACCTAATTTCATTTCTCAGCCCAGATTGGTTCAGAATGCACTACTTAAAAGCGAGATAAAATATGCACTAACCGAGGACTATGTAGATCTTCATCGCAACAAAGTCGAGTGAATCTCCGGGGAAATAAAGTTTGGGGCAGCTGAAAAGAAAAAGAAAAAGAAAAATGATGTGTATCTACAGAAAACCACCACACTAATAAAAAAAAATTCATATAAGCAACCATATTGAAATGAAAGCATGGAGGTGCTATTCCAGAGTGTTTGTTTGCTAGCTTGTTTATATAGTGCTTCAGTCACTCTTAAACTCACTTCACGGCTTCAGCGGCAAGCTAAAATCACCACACACTCAGTCCTTGCAATACTGGATGTTCTATGTCCAGCACTTTCAAGTCTTCAGTAGCCTCAATGACTCGACTATGTGCGATGGAACGTAAAACAACTGAGATCCTACGTCCAGTACAATGGATCGCATCAGTGTTGTTTAAGCTCAGGCGAACTTTTTCTATACTTGCTTCTTCATATTTTCTTCTCCCTTAATCCCTTTCGTTCAGCAAACCGGACGTGCGTCTGGTTGACCTTCCTGCCTTTTCTTCCTCCTCCTCCTTCTCCTCCTCATTGTTTGTTTGTTTACTTACAATCACTATCTTTCTTTTTTCGTTTGCGAGTAAGAACTAGAAAACTTGTTAGATGGTAGTGTGCTTCACTTGGTCTGTGCTTTCGATCTGCAGCCCACACCTCTGAGAATAAAAGCCGAGAGGAAAACAAGGCCAAATGTCAGATATAATGCTCTTAATTACTACAATAATTATAATATAGCCTGAGTATATTAGTACATGCTAGCCGAAGCTATCGGCCGGGTCAGCCACTCAGAGAAGAGAATGTACTACGTCGGTTATGAAGACATTTAGCCCACTTTGACGTTTACCGCAGTTGAGGCCAAGCCTTAACTGGTTATGTTTAGTTTCGGGGGCACAAAACATTTATCTTTATTTCATGCAGTAGTGATTACTGAGGCCTCATTACAACGAAGTGAGTCAACGGTATGAACGAGCGACTCTTTCCCAATGCTGTTCATTTTCGGGCTTCCTCAGCAGCCCGAGCTGCGTTTCGCCTTCGTTACTACCGGGCCTGTCTGGTCGTGAACCAAGGATGATAAGAAAAGAATACGTCACAAAATGTTCTCACTTCCTCTAGTGCAAAAAAAAAAAAACAAAAAAACTGACACGAGATAGGAATCGAATGGATTACCGACGCAGTGGCTCTTAACTTGAGTGGTATCGTACTGGGCCGAATTCACGCAGGAGATCTCAATTGGCTTTAACGTTTTGGGACAAATGACAAGACCAACACGAAACGAAGCCAGGATTTGCACCCCACACTGCCAAACGTTCTTGGTATCCAAGTTGAATTAGTAGCCCTACAATGGGTTAGTTTGCTCAGGGCGATATATACATAACGTTACTTACACTGTTTAAAGCAGTATTTCTATAATTATTGTCAGTTCAGTGTCTATTATGGACTTCCTTCCGTACCAAACAAACCTGCATACCCAAAGATGCTGCGTTGGATGTCGCAGTGAAGTTTATTGAGTTAATTTTCTTGAAACCTTGGAGGAATGAGGTTTACTGCGTAGCAATTAATAAAACAATATTAGGCTTGCTCTGTAGACGTATCCGTATTTATATTCTCTCGTTTCGTTCCACAGCGGCATGCATCCTCGTGTCATAATCCAGGCAACGTTTGGTTTGTGTAGAGCGCGAGATAACCTGTTGAAAGCTCTACACTGCGACAGAAGTCAGAAGCCCACAACAGGGCTTGCGCAGCGCTGCAATTATTCATAAGCGCCGCTGCCATACAATCGCAATATTGAATACGGCGCTATTGAAGGCCGATGCCAAAGACCACTTGCACAAGATACGCTTCACGGATTCGGTCCCAGTAGCGAGCGCCAGCCACTTCGTGGGGTACTCAAAGATTTGTGTGGCCTGTCATACTTTATTTTGACATGCGATGAACTGAGACGCTAGTGGACCTTATAGGGCACTTGGGTAGTGCAAACTCGACAAAGAACACAAGAAGTAAGGCACGATCAAGACACACGCGTAGCGCTACCATAGAGCAACAACAATGTTGTTTTAAATGCGAAGCATTTCTTAGGGAACTTCGGGGACTTTGAGCGTATATATTTATATATCTAGCCGATTACGTTTGGGTGCTCTCGTGGTCATCCCCTTAACTTAGCGTGAATCAAAATTAGCATGGGAGGGTAAGATGGTTTGACGAATATGACGCGCTGGTCAAGACATGAAAAATGTCACAATTCCATCGCGTACGTCGTCAAACATATCCCGCCAGACAGTGGCACACACCCACGGGCGGGCATGTGCCGCTAGTATGCGGGTAGGTGCCACAGGTGAATGACACTTAGTATCTACCAAGGAACGACGACAACACACATGGGCAGGTTTGATTGATATGTGGAGTTTAACGTCCCAAAACCACTATATGATTATGAGAGACGCCGTAGTGGAGGGCTCCGGAAATTTCGACCACCTGGGGTTCTTTAACGTGCACCCAAATCTCACATGGGCAGGTTTAACGCGCGAGTATTAAGAAATACCCGACATCAGTAGCGTCGACCCGACGAATACAAAAATAAATGTCAGGGCCCCAGCTGAAATCGAACCCAAGCATTCTGCGTAGCAATGAAGCATTTTACCACAGAGCTACGCCGGGTCTCAGAACTACTTTTCAAATAGAAAGTAATCTTAGTGAAACGTCAATAGTGGTTGCAGTGCTGCCTACCCAATTTTATAAACATTCCGTAAGTACTCGTTTTGATACAGCCGTCACGTCGGGTTAACGTCAATTGTGGTTAGTTGCCATGCTCTGAAGTTGATTTATATAGCAGTGTCCAGGGCCAGCATTCTCGCGAGCTCAGCGCTTCATATCAGCTTCTGTGGTTGCTAATATCTATCTATCTATCTATCTATCTATCTATCTATCTATCTATCTATCTATCTATCTATCTATCTATCTATCTATCTATCTATCTATCTATCTATCTATCTATCTATCTATCTATCTATCTATCTATCTATCTATCTATCTATCTATCTATCTATCTATCTATCTATCTATCTATCTATCTATCTATCTATCTATCTATCTATCTATCTATCTGTCATGACTTACGCCTTTTAGGTCTCCTGGTCATTTCGATGATGGTATCTATACTAAAATTGGTATGACATAACATGACTGTGTGATGAGCATAAGTTACTAGTCATAACATGAAATTCATGGCATGTTT